GAATATTCAGGCTGCTCTAAGGTGCCATGGTGGTATTGTGACTCCTCCCCCTATAGAACTAGTCCCACACCAGCAGATAATCTTTCTGGACAGAATGTTGCTGCATTCAACCCTATGTTCATTTTTCCTTTTGAGTTGCAACTCAAACCTAGAGCCTTTCACATTCAATGCACAGGCCTACCTCTGAGTTCTAATCTGGTATATACTGCTACTTGTAGCACATTTATCAGTAAAACTGGTTTCAGAAAGACAATGTTTATCTGTACTCTGCAGGATACATACACTGCCATTTTCATCTCAGTCAGCCAAGGTCTCAGTCTTAAAACTGACAAGTTGCCTTCAACAAGTTTCTCTTTTAAGGGAAAGATATAAACATTGAACACTGGCAAATATGAGTCTCAGGCTAGGGATATAGTTCAGTAGCAGACCACTTACCTAGCATGTACTAGGTCCAAATTCAATATCCAACATTAAATATGCCTAAAATGTGGTCAGTGTTTGGAAGAAAGGGTATACAAGTCTAAAATAGAAGTGTCAGCCGGGCGCTGGTGGCTCATGCCTGTAATCCTAGCTACTCAGGAGGCTGAGATCTGAGGATCGTGGTTCAAAGCCAGCCCCGGCAGGAGAGACCGTGAGACTCCCATCTCCAATAAACCACCAGAAAACCGGAAGTGGCGCTGTAGCTCAAGTGGTAGAGCGCTCGCCTTGAGCTGAAGAGCTGAGGGACAGCGCCCAGGCCCAGAGTTCAAGCACCATGACTGACAAAAATAAATTAATAAAATAAAATAAAATAGAAGTGTCTTTCACACTTTTTGTAGAAAATAGTAAACAAGTAAACACCCTTTAGTCCTATACCTACTATTAAAACTTATCATAGGCCAGGTGTTGGAGGCTCACACCTGTAATCCTGGCTACTCGAAAGCTGAGATCTGAGGATCGTGGTACAAAGCCAGCCCAGGCAGAAAGGTCCCTGTGAGACTCTTATCTCCAATTACCTACTCAGAAAAAGCTGGAAGTGGCACTGTGGCTCAAGTGGTAGAGTGCTAGCCTTGAGCAAAATAAGCTCAGGGACAGCACCCTGAGTTTAAACCCCAGGACCAGCACCAGAAAAAATAAAGAAAAAGAAAAGAAAAATCACTTAAATTAGCTTCACAGAACATGTCATTCAGAACTCAGTGTTACTTTCAAGAAATTGCTGTGCGCTCAGGGTGAAACCCCTATAATAAACTGCTATCCACACAACAAGTTGGGTGAAAAAGTCAGAAAATTGTGCTGAGCTTAAAAAACAAGGCCAAGCTTAGAGGGATACATGTGGTATGTAACACTGGTGAAATAATGTAGAACATACTAATTGTTGTTAGAGGTAAGGCTTAGAGGAATGCTGTCTTTCAAAGAAGTCTTATGTTGAAAAGATCCACACAATCTGACTTGTGCTTCCACAGGGCTGTGCATGACAAAATTGTGTACAGCCAAATACAATCACAAATTGGGACACAACATAGAAGAACCAGTATGTTCTATAGAGTGCCAAAGTCAATTTCTAGGTCTTGACACTATTGTTGTGTGAAAGGTGTTGACAGTAAAACTGGGATAAGGGTTTTCAGAACTTCCTGGACAATTACATGTGCAACTTTCTGTTGAATCCAGTTACTTCAAAATTAAAAGGTAAAAAACAGCGGGGCATGGTGATGTACACATATAATTCCAGCACTTGGCAGACTGAGGCAATTAGATCATAAATTTGGGACCATCCTAGATTACATAGCATTTTTCTCAAAAATGTACACTGGTTGCTTACAATCCTAGCTACTCAGGAATCTGCGATCTGAAGTTAGCTTAGGGAAGAAAAGTCTGACTAACCAACCAAACCCTGACTGGAGGGTATGGCCCAAATAGTGGAGTGCCAGCTGTGAGAGAAAATGCCAAGCAGGAGTACCTGAGGCCCTGAGTTCAAACCATTGTACCAAAACAAATCAGCACAAAACAAAGTGCTACAGGAAGCAAATGTGCTGGGGCCTTGTTTTGGTGTAGAAGGCCTCATAAACCTGAGCTTACATGAGGTGGTTCCAGCCCTTCTGGGAAGAGAAAGGGCCCCATAGAGGTGGAGGGAACCAACACCATATGTTGACAGGAGAGGGTGCTGTTAGCTCTGCTCAGAGGTCTGGATGTGATTCCTGTGGTAACAGCAATCTCTGACTTTTGTTCTATAGAAACATCAAACTGAGCTGGGCACCAGTGGCTCATGCTTGTAATCCTAGCTACTCAGGAGGCTGAGATCTAAGGATCTCGGTTCAAAGCCAGCCTGGGCAAGAAAGCCCATGAAACTCTTATCTCCAATAAACCACCAGAAAACCGGAAGTGGTGCTGTAGCTCAAGTGGTAGAGCACTAGCCTTGAGCTGAAGAGCTGAGGGACAGCGCTCAGGCCCAGAGTTCAAGCACCATGACCGACAAAGAAAGAAAGAAAGAAAAAGAAACATCAAACTGCTTCAGAGGAGCAATCAGTGAACATAGCTACCATGAACAGATGAGCTGGCTACCGCAATAGAACAAGCAAAAGTGGACAGTAGCTTGAACCTCAGAGACAGATGTGGAGCTCAGAAAAAGTGGTTACAATCAGTATCTGACTCAGGTAGAGTCTAAGCCTGTGCTTTTTACTTATATGTGTATAATATCTATTTTGGTGCCAGTCCTTAGGGCTTGGGCACTGTCCCTTAGCTTTTTCACTCAAAGCTAGTGCTTTACCACTTAAGCCATAGCTTCACTTCTGGCTCTTTGGTGGTTAATTGGAGATAAATGTGGACTTTCCTGCCCAGGCTGACTTGGAAATGCTAACCTCAGATCTCAGGCTCCTAAGATGCAAGGATTATAGACATGAGCCACCAGTGCCAGAAATGACTTTTAACAAAAATGCTAAAACCACTCAATGGGAGAAAAGACCTTTTTTGCTGTTTGTTTTGAAACAATCTTGCCATGGAGCCCACATTGGCCTGGAAATCTACTCCATACAAGCTTGTCTAAAACTTGTGATGTTTGGCCTCAGCCTCCAGTTTTGAGATTTCAGGAGTGCAGTCATGCCTGAAGCTAACTTTTCCCCCCAGTACTGGGTTTGAACTCAGGTCCTTAAGGTTGCTAGGCAGGTACTCTACCAGAGTTATACCTCTAGTTGGTTTTTGTTTTTATTCCCTCACGGCTAACACTTTACTAGAACTAGCACTTGAGCACAGCTCCACTTCAACCTTTCTTTTTCTTTTGTTTTTTTTTTTGGTGGTTAATTGGAGATAACCTGCTCAGGCTGGCTTTGAACCGCAATCTTCAGATCTCAGCCTCTTGAGTATCTAGGATTTGGGGTGTGAACCACCCGCACCTGGCCAAAGAGGGTATTCAAAGAAGTAAAGGCACTAGGAGCTCAAGCCAGCCCGGGCAGGAAAGTCTGTGAAACTTTTATCTCCAATTAATCACAGAAAAAGAAGTGGGGCTGTGGCTAAACTGCTAGAGAGCAAAGGAGCAAAAGGAGCTCAGGGACAGTGCCCAGAGTTCAAGTTCCAGGACTGCAAAAAAAAAAAAAAAGGTTAATGACCTTTATACCTCCTAGCTACTCAGGAGGCTAAATAAGATCTGAGAGTCAGAGTTGAGGCAGAGCACTGGCGAATGAGCAAAATAAGCCACAGTTACTGAGTTTGCATCTGGCCTAAGACCCTGGGAGGTGGAGGGGATGTGACAATCAAGGTTTGAAGCCAGCCCAGGCAGATTGAAGACTCTTTAACTAGAATCAACCAGCTACCAGAAATGTAGCTCAAGTGGCAGAGCACCAGTAATAAGCAGAAAAAGCTAAGTGAGAGCATGAAACACACACACACACACACACACACACACACACACACACACACACACACACACACACAGAGTAATGAACTGCAAATGAAGTCATTAGGGTAGGTGCTCCACTCATCATGAGAAGAGCAGCCACTTGAAGACATGGGGAAAAGATGGCCATTTGCAAACCATGAAGACAGGCCTTAAAAGAAATCAAACCAATTGGGTATCAGTGGCTCATGCCTGTAATCATAGCTACTCAGGAGGCTGAGATCTGAGGATCATGGTTTGAAGCCAGCTTGGGCAGGAAAGTCTATGAGACTCATCTCCAGTTAATGACAAAAAGCTGTAGTTCAAGTGGTAGATCACTTGCCTTGGAGCACAAAAGCTCAGGGGCAGTGCCCAGGCCCAGAGTTCAAGCCTCAGGACTGGCAAAAGGGGGAAAATCTAACCATAGCCAGCACCGTGGCTCACCAGTGGCATCAGTGGATACTCAGGAGACTGAGCTCTGAAGACAGGTGCAGAGCTAGCTCTGGCAGAAAAGTCTGTGAGACTCTTATCTCCAATTGCCCAGAAAAAGCCAGAAGTGGAGCCTGTGGCCCAAATGGCAGATCACCAGCCTTGAGCCCAAAAGCTCAGGCAGGGACAGCACCCAAGTCAAGCCTTGAGGTCAAGCTAAAACTGGCACCAAAAATTAAAATAAAACAAGGAAAAAAACTTTACTAGAGTCTCAGTTGTTTAAGCCACCAGCCTAGTGTTTTGTTATGGCAGCCTGAACAGATACATACATTAACCATTTACGGCAATAAATGAAACACCGAGCTCCTTGCTTCACTTGGACCTCATGCCCTCCTGGAGGACAGAGCAGCTTTAATGTGTCCCTAGCTTGTCCTATTCTCTAAAGCCTTCCTCCTAGCTCTTCTACCTGTACCACCAAGAAGGCATATCTTCTGGCAAAATCCTGCACATGCTTCACCTCCACTTGAGTTCCTCTGTGCCTCCTGCAGGTGGTACTTTCACTGCATAAATGGAATCTTCCTTTTTTTAAACCTGTATTTTCTCCCACTGGAGAAGAACTGATGTCATTGTCATCCTCATCAAAGTACTTGGCAGAGGGGCAGCATCTCTTGCCCTATCCATCTGCAGGTGGATTAATTTTTTGTAACACAAGACACAGAGATGCTTCTGAGTATATTTTTATTTGCAACCATCATGTCTGGAAAGCAGATTCAACCCTAGACATTTTGCCTACTAAGGGTGGTGTGATCTGAAACAAGCTGCCTTCAGTTCTACCTCTTGGATTCTTGCTGTGTGTACACTGTGGTGATGTCACTGTATCTGCCTTCAGGGGGCTGGTAGTTAGAGATGGGTGGTGTGTAGTGTGGCCCTTCCCATTCAAAGGGGAACAGGCTGGGGTCCCGCTTGATAGCCTCAGTGTAGAGCTCTGGGGACTCAAGTTTCAGTTCCTGGAGAGCTTCTTGCTGGGCTTTCAGCATGGATGCGATGGCATTCCTCTCTGCCTCGTGTTCTTGCTGCTTGTGCCGCGACCACTTCTTCAGAAGTAGAGCTCTCCGCTCACTCTCCTCAAAGGAGAGTTCCACCTGAGGCCGCTGTCTGTGTACACACAAGTCCAGAGGTGTGATGCTGGGATACCCACCTTGCTGGTACGGGCACCTGTGTGACTGCACATGACCCAACCATCCCACTGCAAGGTACAGCCAAAACTCAGGAAAAAGCAATGAAAATCCCTATTCTTAACATTATTCAACATCACAAATTTATATTACCACCACTTGTTCTGTAACTTTGACCTGGATTTGGCCTCTAACTTGGTACAGGAAAGGGAAAGGACAAGGGCCATATAGTTTAAGAAATCTAGAAACAAATTGTCTTATTACTTACATTTGTAACCAAGCTTAAAATAACACAGACCTGCTAGCCTTAGGGCCCTCAGACCTGAAGCATATTTTCAGATATAAGAGAATGATGCTGTCATTTCTGTCTTATTTCTTTGGCTCTTCACACATTTCCAAAGAAATAGATAAAAGGACCATTCCTTCCCTTCGTTTCCCATAAAAATCTTATTTTAAAGAAAATAAATAAAGGTTTCCAAGAAAAGAAAAAAAAAACCTACAAGTCAGGAACAAATCAAGAATAGAATGTAGAGCCAGGTGCTAGTGACCCGAGCTTGTGATCCTAGATACTCAGGAGGATCGTAATTCAAAACCAGCTGGGGCAGGAAAGTCTATGAGACTCTTATCTTCAGTTAACCACCAGAATACCGGAAGTGGTTCTGTGGCTCAAGTGCTAGAGTGCTTGCCTTCAGCTGAAGAGCTTAAGAACAGCACCCACGCCCAGAGTTCAAGCCCCACAACTGACCAAAAAAAAAAAAAATATATATATATATATATATATAATGTTGAAAATAGCAGAAGAGGAAACATCTCTGAGCTAACTGCTATCGCTTTCTCTGCCTTTGTCAAGGGGTAATGCTGGAGAACAGTTACATGCACACCAAAATTCCAGGGAGACAAGAGCTTAGTTCAGTCTTGGAACACACACATATACACACAAAAGGACCTGCTGTCTCCTGTTTGCAGGGCAAGGTACTGTTTTATTTATTTATTTATTTATTTGTTGTTGTTGTTTTTTTTGTTGGTTGTGGGGCCTGAACTCTGGGCCTGGGCACTGTCCCTTAGCTCTTTAGCTCAAGGCTAGCGCTCTACCACTTGAGCCACAGCACCACTTCCAGCCTTTTCTGTTTATGTGGTGCTGAGGAATCGAACCCAGAGCCTCATGCATGCGAGGCAAGCACTCTACCACTGAGCCAATTTCCCAGCCCCAAGGTGCTGTTTTATGATCCATGTTTTTTTTTTTTTTTTCAGTCATGGAGCTTAAACTCTGTTTTCTGGTTGTTAATTGGAGGTAAGAGTCTCAGAGACTTTCCTGCCAAGGCTGGCTTTGAACCATGACCCTTCAATTTCAGCCTCCTGAGCAGCTAGGATTACAGGTATGAGCCACCAGCCCCTGGCACTTTTTTTTTTTCAGTAGTGGGGCTTGAACTCTGGGTCAGCTCTCCAGCTCAAGGCTAGCACTCTACCACTTGAGCCACAATGCCACTTCTGGTTTTCTGGTGGTTTATTGGAGATCAGGATCTCACGGACTTTCCTGCCTGGACTGGCTTTGAATCCCAATCCTCAGATCTCAGACTCCCAAGTAGCTAGGATTACAGCGCCTGGCTTTTTTTTTTTTTTAGAAAGCAGTGGCTCGGTGCCCGTAGCTCACACCTGTAATCTAGCTACACAGAAGGCTGAAATCTGAGGACAATTGTTGAAAGCCACCCCAGGCAGAAAAGTCCCCATGAGACTCTTATTTCCAAGTAACCATTCAAAAACCAGAAGTGGTGCTATGGCTCAAGTGGTAGAGGGCTAGCCTTGAGCACAAAGAGGGCCAGGGACAACATTCAGGCCCTGAGTTCAAGCCCCACAACCAACCAAAAAAAGAAAAGAAAGCAGCAAAACCTCCTAATTCTACATACAACACAACTGCAATACACATCAATTATGAGCATTCACATGTTGGGACAGACTCAGGGCTGCAGAACAAAGGCTCATGCCATGTGTCATAGCCAAGACTACTCACACAAATGAGCAACAACCCTTAGCACCCAAATTCTATTAGCATCTGGCCAGGACTCATCACATAATTGTCTGTTGTGGTGGGTTTTTTTTTTTTTTTCTTTTCTCTCTACTATCAGCTATTTCTCCAACTCCCAAAGGCTCAATCAAGGAGAAAAGAATTCAAGACTAGGGCCAGGTCAACCCTACATTATCATTAGAAGTGTGAACTTCAGCACAAACTACCTGAGGTTAAGGAGATTCCTTTGCCCAAAAAACTGCAAGCCCAAAGGATAACTCTTACCTTGATTTATCCAAGAACTTCACAGGAGTAATGAAATCTTCAATGGGAATTAGCTCTTGGTTAGCTTTTTCTAGTTTTCGGATTCTCTTTTTCAAACGGTCTTTTGCTGCCTGATCTTTTTTAGGATCTATCTTCTTCTTCTTGCGCATAGGTTCTGCTCTAATGGACAAAAATCAAACGAACTGTGACACTGTCCAAAAAGCAATGTACTAATTACCTGATTTATGTAACTGCAACCTCTGTACATCACCTTTATAACAACAACAAAAAATAAAATTAAAACTAAAAAAAAGCAAACTAAGTCAAACATTTTCCTTTTCAATCTCTGCGAGTTCAAAAAGCTCTCACCAGGGTTCCTGGTGAGAACTCTGTGGGTACTATCAACTCCAGAAAGAGGTACAAGGCGTGAAGGAGTTTTGAGTATAACTAAGGTAAAGTCTGATCTTTAGTTGTGTGATTCAGGTGTACCTCAGAGCTGCCCTGAAAAGTGAATATACTGGGGCTGGAAAGGTGGCTCAGTGGTAGAGCGCTTGCCTTGCATGCATGAGGCCCTGGGTTCAATTCCCCAGCACCACATAAGCAAAAAGAAAAGGAAAAAGCCGGAAGTGGCGCTGTGGCTCAAGTGGTAGAGCACTAGCCTTGAGCTGAATAGTTGAGGGACAGTGCCCAGGCCCAGAGTTCAGGCCCCACGACTGGACCCAAAAACAAAAAAAAAAACAAAACAAAAAGTGAACATACTAAACTGACATATTAGAAGCTCACTATTCACATTTTAAGTGAACTTGGGACTTATTTCCCCATCTTACAGCTTTGGCAAAAGTTCTAGTTAACTCTTTAGAATTTATATACCAGTTGTAATAATAGTAAGAATAATCAGTCTGGGAATGTGGCTCAGTGGTAAAGTGCTTGCCTAGCATGCATGAAGCCCTGGGTTCAATTCCTCAGTACCACATAAACAGAAAAAGCTGGAAGTGGCGCTGTGGCTCAAGTGGTAGAGTGCTAACCTTGAGCAAAAGAAGCTCAGACAGTGTCCAGGCCCTGAGTTTAAGCCCCAGGACTGGGGAAAAAAAAAAGAAGAAGAAGAAGAAGATCAGTTTTGTGTTTTTTATTTTAGTGCCAGTCCTGGAGATTGAACTCAGGGCCTAGGTGTTTGTCCCTGAGTTTTTTTTCTCAACTACCACTTGAAGCACAGATCTACTTCCAGCATTTTGGTGGTTAATTGGATATAAAGTGTCTCAGAATTTTCTGCCCAGGCTGGCTTTGGATCACAATCCTCAGATCTCAGTCTCCTGATTAGCTGGGATTACAGGTATGAGCCACTGATGCCAGGTTTGTTTGTTGTTGTTGTTGTTTTTCCAGGCTGGTCCTGAAGCTTGAACTTAGGGCTCATATGTTGTTTCTTTCTTTCTTTCTTTTTTTTTTTTTTGGTCAGTTATGGGGCCTGAACTCTGGACCTGGGTGCTGTCCCTCAGCTCCTCAGCTATAGGCTAGCGCTCTACACTGGAGCCTCACCCCACTTCTGGCTTTTTCTGCTTATGTGGTGCTGAGGAATCAAACCCAGGGCCTCATGCATGCAAGGCAAGCACTCGACCACTGAGCCACCTTCCCAGCTTCCAAGTCTTACAGACTTTCTTGCCTAGGCTGGCTTCTAATTCTGATCCTCAGAGTAGCTAAGATTACAGGATGAGCCACTAGTGCCAGCCTTTTTCTTTTCTTTTTTAAATTGGTATGCAGGTACTAGAGCTTGAATTAAGGGCCTACATGCTGCCCTTATCTTTTTCATTCACGGCTGACACTCTACCACTTGAGCCACAATGCCACTTCCAGCTTTTTTGTGGTTAATTGGAGAGACTCTTACAGACTTTCCTGCTGAGCTGGGTTGGGGACTGTAATCCTTGGATCTTACCCTTCTGACTAACTAGGACTACAAGGCATGAACCACTGGTACCCAGCAACAACTAAAAATGGTTTAACATTAAAATGTACTGAATCAAGTTCCTGATAAGTGTCCAGAGTTCTAAGTGGAAATAACTATATTCTTTGAACCTCCCCCACGAAGGTAGACAGAATGAGCAGGGAAGATGAAGGCCCACGTGTTCAATTGTGCCCTTTAAAACACACAAAATTTTCTTTAAAGCTAATTGATATTTAAATTTTACTGGGAGAAGCCTTATAGGTTGCAAATTTTGCTAACCCAACATAGAAGGGTCAGACCCACAGCTGAATTTTACCTCATGGGAATGAGTTCCCAGAAGGATAACAATGAAGCTCGCTGGTGGGTGTCTCTGATCTGTGTCCACCAAGTTCCAGGAAGCCTGAAGGAGAGACGACTGTATAAATACGTGATTCTCCCCGATGTACACCAAACGATACATACACACAAAATCACAGTGCTCGCCAAAGCCCGGGCGTTTTTAAGTATTACAGATGACAAGGTCAAGGTGGAGAATTTTCAAAATACCCGATCACATCACATTTTTGGAAGAGGTCTGTAATCGCAAAGATCTTAAGATTTTCACCCATGGGAGACACAGCTTCCTGGTCCTTGAGATAACAGTGGACCAGGGTGAGAGGAAGAGAGGGAGCATCGAGAGGCCCCAGCTGCAAAAAGCCAGCCTGGGCACTCTGCCACACAGCCAGCATTGGTGCTTACCCGCTTGGCGAGCGCAGCGCCCGCGCGGCACACAGCAGCACCGCAGAGGCCATGGCTTATCCTGCCGCTGACCTGCCGGCGACTTCCGGACGCGCGCCCCGTGACGGTCCGGCCTGCGGTGCCTAGACCAAAGTTCGACAGGCGCGCTGCCCCCGACTCTCGCGTTCCGGCCCTTTTCTCAGGCTAAGCCTGTCCTAGTCCCGCCCCTGACGCAGCCCCGCCCCTGGCGGCGCGTTTCGCGCCGCGCGCGCCAGAAGCGCTTCCACCTCCACCCGGCTTCCAGGGCCCACCCCTACAACGGCGGGCGCGGCCCGGCTAGGCTCCGCCTAGGTTCGTCCTCCCACCTCCCACCCCCACCCCCGCCAACGGACTGGCCGAGAGGTTGTCACCCTGCTCTACCCGGCCCAAATGTCCACATCTGTAAAAAATGGCCCCGATCTTCCAATAAACGAGTTCGCTTCAGCCTCCCCGCCACCCTTCGAAAGGCTGGCCTGCTCTTTTCTCGCATTTGTTCGAGTCTGGGGCGGCGGCCGAACGCCGGTGGCTGCATCTAGGCGCCAACACGGGGCTGGCACTTGGCAAGATGCCCAGTAGTGCGTGTTGATGTATGACGGAAGCTAGTTAATAAGTCGGACTCGGAACCACCGAGGTGAAGCTGGTGACAGGCTGTCCATAACACCCTGGCACAGCGTGCTGTCTGGATAGCTTATCCCGCCTTGCTGCAACTCCAGGCTCGGCTTGTCTGCCGCTGTCCGGTTCTCCCCATTCCTCGGTCAGTGGCCGCTCCTCGTCCGGATCCCCAAGCGGAGTCGCCCTACGCTGCCCCCAGTCTGCCGAAAGAGCCTGAGCGGCACGGTCCGCATTGGGAGCGGTTTCCCGCCGGGGCGATTTGGCAGGTGCGCGCCGTGACTTCCGGCGTTGCCCGGGAGCCGCCGGAGGAGGAGCGGCGCAGGGGATGCGGCTGCGGTGGTGGCGGCGGCGGCCGAGCGCGGGGGGCGGCTGTGGCGGCGGCTGGGGTCGCGGGCCGGCGATGGCGCGGCGGCGCTGAGGGAGCGGGGTGGGCGGCGGCCGGAGGGCGGGCGGCACGGGAGGAAGCGACGGCAGCAGCTCCATGGCCCGGGCGCGCTGAGGGACCCGGCTCTCGCTTCAGCCCGGCGGCGGCCGAACAATGAAGCTCCTGAAGCCAACCTGGGTCAACCACAATGGTGAGTGCGCAAGGGGTCGCGGGGAGGCAGAGCCCGGAGTGGGGTCGGCGCCTGGAGTCGGGTTGGAAGCGCGCGCAGGCCCTGCCGGTCTCGTTCCCGTGGTGCCTGGTGCCCGGTGCCCAAGCTGCGGAGCCGGCCGGAGCGGACTTTGTCCTGCGCGCCGAGAAGCCAGCGAGCCCGGGCACGTGCTTTGCAGCGACGTCCGCCTTCGCCTAAGGCATTGGCGCGGAGTCCTGCGCCGCCCGCCCACCGGTAGCCCGCGGAGGGGCCTCGACCTGGCTCCTGGGCGCGCGCCTGGGCACTGGCCAGGTCTTACCACCCATCTGCACTGGCCAGGATGTGCTCCCATGGTTCTGAGTGTGAAACCAGGGCGGCATCCCTCTGTGGCCCGGTGGAGACCTAGATCTGCGGGAGGAACTGTTACTACCTTGGCCGAGGCCTGGAGCTGTTGACAGTGCCCCCATTCGGGGACTGTCGTCCAGGAATGGGAAGGCTCAGACCAAAGTCCTATATAGGACCACGAAAAAGCCACCTTGAGTGCCTGCCAGTGGCATCGGGGCAACTAGGATTGGGGGCGAGTGGGCACATGTGACCTAGAGCAAGACGCTTTCTTAGCTCTGCAGTAGTGACCTCAAAGAATCGCCTCCGGAGAAAGGTTCCCCTCCCCTCTAGTTAAGCCCTCACTCCGGTAAACTGAGGTCGGTGGTAACTAGCCGTTTTGCCCTAGTTGTGCTTTCTTGGCAGAAGAGTTGGTCTTTGCTCCCCAGGGAAAGGAAAGAGATAGAGCCCTTTCCCTCCGCTGACAATACCGGATTACCAGAAATACCCCCAGGAGGCAGGTAACCTCTTTTGCAAAAGGGTCATCCTGATACTGTCTACTTTGTAGTGCAACTAGAGGGAGCTACAGTTTTCTTTTAAAAGCAATGGTAGATGCTTCTGCCTTTTTTCTTTTTTAATACATGTGGCTTTTTCATTTTCAACTTGAACCCACGATACCCTAGACTCCTACAACCAAACTTAACATCTGTCTCCCGAGGGTTTGTGTGTGTGTGCGCGCGCGTCTGTCTGTCTGTCTGTCTGTCTGTCTGTCTGTGTTTGTTGTTGCCAGAAGTGCTCTCCTTGCAATTTATTGTATTACATCGTTTTCATTTTTCAGGGTTCAGGTCAGGTCATCTTTTCCGATTTTTTTTTTTCCCTCTCGGTCACGGGGCTTGAACACAGGGCCTGGGCGTAAATCTAGTGCTCTATCATTTGAAGCCACAGTTCCACTTCCAATTTTCTGGTGGTTAATTGGAGATAAGAGTTTTATTGACTTTCCCACCTGGGCTGACTTTGAACTCTAATCCTCAGTTCTCAGCCTCCTTAGTAGCTAGGATTACAGGCATAAACCACCAGCACCCAACTTTTTTTTTTTTTTTTTTAAGTGCTGGTCTTGGGGCTTGAACTCAGAGTCTGGGAACTGTTGCTAAACTTTTGTCCCAAGGCTAGCGCTCTACCACTTTATCCACAGCTCCACTTTGAGGGTTTTTTGTGGTTTATTGGAGTTAAGTGTCACAGACTTTTCTGCCTGGGCTGGTTTCTCACTGTGATCCTCAGATCTCAGCCTCAGTCACTGGCACCTGGCATTAACCTTTTTCTTTTGAAGCCACGGCAATGGAGTTATCCAACCATATGTGTTGTGTGCCTGTCCCTGTGTTTTGCCTTATTTGGCAGTTGTGACTATTTTCATTCCCCTTGGTATACCCTGCTGAACTCAGCAATACCTTTCATGTAATAAGTATATGATAAGTATTAGATAAAAACTAAGAAAGCTAGCCTGGTGCTGATGGCTCATGCCTGTAATTCTAGCTACTCAGGAGGCTGAGATCTGAGGATCACTGATCATAGTCATCCTGGGCAGGAAAGTTCTTGAGACTCTTATCTCCAATAAACCACTCAGAAAACAGGAATTGGCATGGTGGCTCAAGTGGTAGAGCACTAGCCTTGAGCTAACAAGCAGAGGGACAGCTTCAGGCCCAGAGTTCAAGCCCTATAACTGACAAAAAAAAACTGAGAAAGTTGAGGTTTCCATATTTTATGAAGACTCAACTAGGTCTCTTATGCTGGTGAAATTCTTAAAAAATGTAGTTGAATTATTTCTCCTGTTGATCTTGAGGAGCATTTCTTGATATAAAGAGTATACATCTTTCCTTGTAGAAGTGTTATAATTCTAAACTGCAACTCTTGGGATCAGGAAAGGAAACATTTTGTTATGAACTAGTTTGTGAAAGTCTAGAGGGATTTTTGTATTGAAATTGATTTGTCTAAATTCATTTGTGTGTTTAGCCTTTTCCAGCCTTTTTCCTATCTTCACTAATTTGATTTCTTCCTGTTTTCTTTTGGTACCTGGGGCTTGAACTCAGGGCCTGGGCACTGACCCTGAACTTCTGTGCTTAAGGCTAGCACTCTACCAGTTGAGCCACAGCTCCACTTCCTGACTTTTTGATGATTAATTGGGGATAAGAGTCTTAAAGACTTTCCTTTCTGGACTGGCTTTGAACTGTGATCTTCATATCTCAGCCTTCTGAGTAGCTACGTTTATAGGCCTGAGCCACCACTGCCCAGATTGAGTTCTTCCTTTTTGATAAGCTCTTTTGTAGGACAAAAGTTGTAAGCCAAGTAAGCAAAAGTATGTCAAGCTGCTTAAGCAATTATATAGGCACCAATGAGTGAGTCTGCAACGAAGTCAGCAGCCTGGTAGAGGAGAATAGTGGGCCTGCAGTCTCTCCATGGGACTAGAATGGAGCTTGAAAACATCTGCTTTACATACTTCACCATATGATTGTAGAGTTCATCTGGGAACAGAAATAAAGTGCTTTAGGAAATAAAGTGTAATAAACAACACTGAGGCTTTGGCTGAGTGGGATTTAACTTTTTTAGACTTGTTCTTTGTCAGTTTTCTTCCTTTTAAAATCTAAAATCAAACTCAGTCTCATGGAGTGGTTAGGAGGCCTATTAAGAATAAAATTCACTATCCTAGAGGATAATAATATTGGTGTGAGTTACTGCAGAGCACGTCTTTAGTAGTGAGGAGTAATGGGAGCTGCTTTCCAGCCTTCACCTTGATGGTAGGTAATAGCTAGTAAACTCGAGTTTCCTTTGGTTGAAAAGCAAAAGCTGTGCTGTTTTAGGAGCACTTTCTGGCTTCTTTGCTCTCTAGTCTTGTTTCCTGTCTCCTTATGCAGCATGAACATAGTGTTTCTGTCATCTGAATCCAAAACGGTGCTTGTGTCCAGGGTGACAAGTGATCCATTTAGAGTAGAGAGAGAAGGCATCTACAATAGCACAGTTGCATTGTAGTCATACTTTGGTCTTCATTTTCTTGGCTGTTTTTTTAAAAAAAAAACAACTAAGTTTTCTTAGCCTTAGTACTATGGGACATTTTCAGTCATATAACTTGGTGAGGGAACAATGTGTTATGGGTTTGTTTAGTAACATCCCAGGTCTCTACCCACTAAATGTCAGGAGTACCTAGCCCACCAATATTTGTCACAATGAAAAATCATCTCTACATATTGCCAGTGTTCACTGGTTACCAAAAGCATCCCCAATTGAGATGTCTGGTCTAAAAATTTGTTTACTAATAAATTGGTATCATTAAAATTTGCCTTGGATGTGGAATTAAACTAGACTCAAGATGCTATCATTGGGGGCTGGGAAGGTGGCTCAGTGGTAGAGCGCTTGCCTTGCATGCCTGAGGCCCTGGGTTCGATTCCTCAGCACCACATAAGCAAAAAGAAAAAAAAAGCCAGAAGTGGCGCTGTGACTCAAGTGGTAGAGCGCTAGCCTTGAGCTGAAGAGCTGAGGGACAGCGCCCAGGCCCAGAGTTCAGGCCCCATGACTGGACCAAAAAAAAAAAAAAAGAAGGTGCTATCATTGGGACTGGGAATGTGGGTAGAGTGCTTGCCTAGCATGCATGAAGCCCTAGGTT